TGTGTGTGTGTGTGTGTGTGTGTGTGTGTGTGTGTGTGTGTGTGTGTGTGTGTGTGTGTGTGTGTGTGTGTATGCGGATGTACTTTCTAGAGAACAATACTACTTTTTCGTATTGTTAATTTCTCTGTTCGAGACTAAGGCGAATGCGTGTGCTATGTTCAAATGTTTATGTATTATGTATGTGTACTATGTTTGTAGTCGCAGGAAGAAGATAGCAAACTGTCAATCAAGTAAAGGTCCTATCTCTCGTCTTTGGATTGAAACACGGCGATCTCTACTTTTAAAAGTATATCTCCCGTGGTCTATAATTTATCCCATTGTCCCTATCCTCTCATGTGTTCGGACACGGAGCGACGATACGATTAAAATTCACGCTCAAGTAAAACACCGGTTTCGTTCCGCCGCGCGCGAATTCACATCCTTAACGAACGGATTGTATTACAGTCGCCAAAAAATCACCTTTTCACGTGGTTGACACAATAGTGTTCGTTGGCGACAAATGCGTCGAATTTGTTGCTGTTGCGATCGCCGTCGTCGTCGCCGTCGTCGTCGTCGTCGTCGTCGTCGCCGTCGTCATCGTCGTCGCCGTCGTCATCGTCATCGTCGTCGACGTCGTCGTCATCGTCGTCGTTGTTATCATCGTCATCGTCGTGCTTACCACGTTGCTCAGCTGCGCACTCGATTCTGAAGTTCGTACGCTCGAGTCCTTTTCCAAAAATGGTCTCTTCGCCTCCTTGTGCTCACTGGACGCGCTGGACTTCCTCTTGTGTTTCGAGCTCGAAGAGTGGGAACGACTTGACGTCGCGTGACTGTCCTTGCTGGTGTTACTGCCAGATGACCTCTTCTCTCCATGTCTGTGAGTGCAGTGATGGTCGCAATGACATTTCTTTCTCCTCTCCTCGGATTTTTTCTCCACACTTTTCGAGCTCATTCGCTCCGATTTTTCGATGGTAGAATAACCATCTGATAGCCCAGGAATGCTCAAAGCATCATCCTTGTTGGCGTCATCGGATGTTTTAGATTCGGATTTTAACTGAGTAGGACTCCGATGATGATGTCGATCGTGCTTTCTTTCCCGTCTCTCGTGATCCCTTCTTTTCTTATGCCTTCGCTCCCTGCAATCCTTCTCGTCCCTGTTTCTGCATTTTGATTTCGAATGAGCCGTACCGTGAGATTCGGACGATTTAGGTGAATTTTCATCACTGCTGCCATTTCTGCTGGTGCTGTGTCTTTCATTCTCCGTAGACGGAGACGTAGAGGACATTGCGGACGAAGAATATGAAGAGACACCTATTGTTGTCGTTGTCGCTGTTGAATTCTCGCTGCATGGATTACCGTTGGTTGCAAAGTCGCTAGTTTTCTCGCTTTTCGCTCTCTCCTTCGCCTCGTCTTCCGCCATTTCAATCAATGCCTTAACGGCGTTTTCCGTCGCGCATTCCATTTTCGATGTGAATGCTAACACAGTTTCCATCTCGAGCAAATGGCAGTATCTCTCCAGTTTTACAGTGTCATCTTTGAACCATTGCTCGGCGATTTCAAAGCTTTCCTTGTGAATCTTTTCCAACACTTCCTTCGAGGCTTCCGAAACTTCGGTACGTAACGATTGGCATACTTCCTCGACATCAGTCTTCGATTTGTAGATAGCTATCTCCAACGCTCTATCCACAACCTCAGTGGCGTATGTTTTGGCAACAGTTTGCCGCTGCATCAATAATTCTTCGTCGAGAATAATTGGAGAAGAATCTTCAACTCCAGGTATGTCTACCGATGGAGACAATTCTGAGCTCAATCTTCTTTTAGTCTCCTTCAAGGAAGACGAACTATCAAATTTGGAAACTATTCTCGTTTCTACACCAGTAACGCTTTCTTTACTCGATATACTCTTACTATTAGATCTCTCATGATGACTACAACGATGATCTAATTTGTGACCGTTACTATCATATTTTTTCTTCTTACAAGAGTGACAGTTATCAGAACTGCTACTACTACTACTATGTGTGTGATGACTACTAGATTTCTCACTGCTGCGACGGCGATCCTTGTGTTTTTTCTCGGATCTTTTCTCGTCCCTCTTATCGCTGTTCTGTTTCTGTTCGTTAGTTTCACTCTTGGATGATTTAGTGCTACCAAATGGATCTGATGACTGGTTGTCGCTACCCTCTTCCTTATCCTTTCGTTTGAGTGACGAATGACTGGAGTGATGTCGATTTTTGCGATGCTTACCATGCTGATCAGATTTCTTCAGATTACCCTGATATTCGGCTGCTCTTTCCTTCGCCTTTTCGAGAGAATCAATCGATAATTTCTGATCTAAACGCTGCCGATTCGTATTCTCCTTCTGCTCGTCGCCAACAGCTTCTAAAGGCTTTTTTTCTTTGATACGATGAGCAGATTCATTTACTACACGACTGTGTCTGATACTCGTACTGTGCTGCGATTCTGGATAATACTGTTTCAGTCTGATGTGCCAAGCAATACTCGAAACAGCTGAAACTGTCCTGAATTGGTGGATGATGTTGCGTGGTAGAAAATATATATCATTATCATAAAGATTTATCTTAGCATAACGGACACCTTGTCGACGCAACTGATTCAATTTCGCGTCCTCCACCCATTGCACACACTGTGATATCGGCGGCTCGTGCAAGTCCAATTGCAATTTCTCGACAAGTTCGGTAAAATCGCCCGCGTAAAAAGCCACGACATCCTTCGTAATCCTGTTGTATTGGGACGCTTGGCCACCATGGACGGCTTTCAGCACGCCAACTGCTGCTGTGGTCATCCTGTCCAATCCATGGCCAACATGATCAGCGTGCGCCTTCGTACGATCTTCGAACATGTACTCTCGAGCTTCGCTAAGCCGTGGTAGATATTGCAAATTCCTCAACTCATTAATGCCCGTTCTGCGTCGTTTATACGGACTTTTATTTATGTCAGCTGTTGGTACTAGCTGTTCGCCTGGTCGAATCCACAAAATAGGACCGTCGTTTGACTCTTGCGGTGTATCCATCTTCACGACAGATAGAGGTCCCCAAGGCATTGTCTAGGATATAATGATTTTATTGGCAAATATAGAACATATATATATATATTTAAGGTGTTATGAAAGTTTTTGCCAATCCCTTTTTTGTAGATAGGATGGACTAAATTGAATCGAAAAGTCCTCTATCATTTTGTAATTTTCGCAATAACAAGATATTAATTAACAATATTTATTGTATTTACAATACAATAATAGATATTAGTTAACAAGATATTAATTATTAAAAATTGCTAATTATTAGTCTTGAATAATTTTTTACTCAAATACTTCATCAACTTTATATAAAAACTGCAAGAGACGAAAATCATTTATTTTCTTCTAATAGAACTTTAAGAATTTTTTCAGAATTTTTTATCAACTTTTTAGTATTACATTTTCTTATTTTTATCAAAATGAAAAAATACGATATTAAAAAATTCTGAAAAAATTCTCAGAACTTTATGAGAAAAAGATAAATGATTTTTGTCTTTTGCAGCTTTTCTATAAAGTTGATAATACTTGAGTAAAAAATTATTCAAGAACTAATATTTGGCAATTTTTAGTAAGATCTTGTTAACTATTGCAAAAATTGCAAAAACTAAAGGACTTTTTGACTCAGTTTAGTCCGCTCTATCTATAAAAAGCGATTGGCAAAAACTTTCGGGATTATATGTACACATACACACACAAGCACGCATGTTTTATATATATATATATATATATATACATATATATAAAATATACTTACCATTTTTAAAAACGGGTTTTCTTCTAATTTTTGTAGTAGATCCGGGAAATATCCACCAACTTCTTCGTGAACAGTACCCACTAGACTTATTTGATGCAACGGCCCATATCTAATAGTGCCATTACTATAAGCTTTACAAACTTGATCTTTGTATTGAGCCATTGTGGTTGTTTCTATATCACTGTTTCTACCCAAAACTCCGTTTTTTACAGTCAATGTGGGATAATTATTCGCCATATAGTCCAGAAGATCAGGTAAGTATGCAGCTGCATTATGTACTATACCCATAACATGATGAGCATTTCCATTTTCGTCTTCACCAAAAACCACCTAGAAAAACAATTTTATACATTAAGAATTAACTGCGCATAAAACTAAAAAAAGTTTTGGTTAAAGTCGTATAAAGCTGCTTCAATTTCTCATTTTATTACAACATTAAATCGTGCTTACGTACTTTGAAATATTCCTGTGCCAATTCTTGCATTTGCTCATTTGTTAAAGTACCAATTTCATCCTGAAACATATGGACAACTGTTGCACCACCATTAGGATATGTTTCTATATGGATGAACTTTTTGTACTTTAGGCCTTCCAGTAATTCCTTTTTCGTCACCGGATTGTTTAACATCTTATAGTTTTTCGTTTGTAGGTTTAACCTTAAGTTTTCATTGACTGATTTCGAGAAAGGGAGAACCTTACTACTCAACGAAGACAAAACATGACGGTCCCGTTTGCATTGTACACCAATGCTTGCTCGTTTAATTCCTTTGCGTTTGTGACATCGTGAACAATATCGTCTGTCTTCTTTTGAACGTTTCTCTCTCGAAGACGAATGCAAACTGGAAGATGGATTAGCAATGGAATCTGTAGATTTGTCATGGAATTCTATTGCCAATTTCTTTCTATTCGATTCTATCTCCGAAAAATTATCTTTTGTCCATTCGGATTTAACCATTTCAAATGTTTCCTGTAAATCCACAAATTCTTTCTTAATCTCAATAGAATCTGCTGTCAATTCTTTGTTTGTAATGTCTTCTCTGACAATGTCTTGCTGCTCGCTCAATTCTGTTTTTATTACTTGTGAATCGCCTATTTTCTTCGGCGACGAACAAAATAGATTATCAGCTATTTTATCCATACATGTGATCGTGTTCTTTTCAGTATTTTCTTCGCTATATTTTGCTGTGTCCATAATAACTGTAGAATTCGCCGACATCATGGTAATGGGAAATGTCGTATCTTGACTGTGAGGATGAGGACTGACAGAAACTCTCGGAGGATAATCTGGACTCCTCGGACTACTGATCACTTCGCCATTACTTTGTGGACTCTCTCCTAACTGTGGGGTATTATTGGAAAAATTCACACATCCTTCTAATTTTGTTTTTGTGGATAATATGTGCATGTCTCCAGATAACATTGTGTCGTTGTTACGTGTGGAATCAGTCTAAACAGAAAAAAGTTAATTAGATAACGATTGCCTTGATTGCATTTCTATAATATAATTAAATGTAAGAATATTGTACTGTCAATGATACATGTCAGTGTAGAATGCATAATAATATAAAAAATATCTTACAAAAATTGCACGATACATACATGTTCAACTGGATCCTTAGCAGTTTTTACTACATCATTGTTGCAATGATCTGGACTTCCTGTATCATACATATATCATTTTATTTATCAAGTGTAATAAATGATACAGTCTTTGATTTTAAAGTCGAAAGTGAAAGGGTTTTGAGTACAGAAGTATAAGATGAATGATAATCCATTTTAAGAACCCAAATTTTCAATTTTATAAAATATATAACCATTTTTAATATTATTTATACTATTATAAAATATATAACCACATTTAAAATTTGGGCTTCGTATTATTTTTCTATGAAAAAATTATTTTCTTTTCGAGAACTATCATTATAGACTCTAAAATCTCTAAATTAACATTTTTTTCCATTTATATTATTTAAAACTTGGTAAATAAAACGCATACACAAATATTTAGTAGTATCTCAGCCAAATATGCAATAATAATTATTATGAAAATAATTCTAATCAATCTGTTTTTATATTAATTCTATAGAGAAGAAATAAAATACAACTTTCATAGCATAATGCATACAGATCAATTTTTATACCTATACCTTTATATATTAAAAATAAATTAAAAATAAATATGGATTATGAAATATAAAATACAATATCGTTAACTTTACAAATTTATCTCTCAATAATAATTATTTAGTAATTGCATACATATCAAATCAACACAATTGTTTCCATTATTACTCAACTATGTTTTATCTGTATTGAATATAATCTATGGATTAGAACATTGGAATGCGAAGCTTTGCCAGGTAGCTGTCAGACTTCAGCAGACCATTAGGATAAATACATTCCGGCGTTACAAATGACAGATATCAAAGAACCGGTCGCATGAAAATCTACTTTCTAGGGCTTCACGCAATAAGAAATAATATAGAAGGAGAAATTACCGTTTGGTTCTCTTGGAAGACGAGCAGTGTCGTCCAGGTCACTATCATGACAAGACATGCTGCGCCGTTGAGAGGACGGCTGGTGCGTTTCGTTGTTAGGCTCGCTGCTCGCAACCAGTTGAGCCACATCACCAGACGAGCTCGCGAGGCCCGTGTTTCTCTGTAACGCGTGCCCTTCCGTGTTCGTGTGAAACGGTGACGCTGCAGGGAGACCCGTGGGCGTCCTCGGCGAATTATGCGCGGGATCGCGCGCACCTTCGTTCGTCTCCTCGACGACGATACGTGCCGCCGTCCTGAATGACGTAACACCCACTGTTTCGCTCCCAACTGACTCGATTGCCCGCTGGCTTGTATTATTTACATCATATCCTACGTTTGACACGATACCCGCACCATCCTCGGATGCCATCTTGGTTCCATGAACGACATCCCGGACGCGATGATACTACGCGGACGGCGATTGGCAGTCGCGCATACCGGCGACGGCGCGCGCCGATCGCCATTCGCTCGTGTCGACGCCGCTGAGTGGGAGTCGCGCCAGTAGACGGCCCGGTTCTATCAGTATGAGGCTATGAGGAACATTTTTATCCGCCGGAATCTTCGATCTCGAAATCACATCGTTTTCCGCGAAACTTTTCCATTTCTATCGCCACGCCGGCGACGATGATGACGACGACACGCGAGATTGATGCGTGAAGATTGGAAATATCAGACCGCATATCATTTCCCACAATTGCGAGGATTTCCAGCTGTCCCGAGTCAACCGAATCAACCAGAGACAACACTTGAAACTCGAAATTGTGCTTACGTGCTTTTGCGCGGGCGGAACAAGCGAATGAGTCAGTACTTATTACAACATACATCATTCCAGCAACATTGCAAACGTTGCAGCAATATTGCTGCAAGCTTTTTATGCTGCTATAGGTACTGATAAAAATTTATAAAAAATTGATTCCTCTTGAAATTGCAATAATTGTAGATTTTTAGTCGCGTACTATAAAGGATAATTTTTATACTACTGTTTTAGAAAAAATTAAAGAAATTATGTATAATTATATATAAAACTATACATAATTGTGAGCAATTTTTTTAAATATTTTTCCAAACTTATTTTTTTTCTAAAACGAACAATGTGAACATTATCCTTTTAATTATTTTTTATGTCTTCACATTACTATTATTATTTTTATTATACTAAAAAAGAATTTTACAAAAGAAAGAGGAGAGATGTATGAACATATTTCATATATATATATATGATTATGTATGTTTATACATATTTATGCATGAACCATTTTTTCGATATAATTTGATTATTTCTTAATATTGTATTATACGTTTGAATGTTTAATCTTTCATAGTCTACAAATCCTCAAAATAAAAATTTTAAGAATTCTTGAAATTTAATTGATGTCATCTCTTAAGTGAATATATTTTCCTGATGCTTTTGTTGATTTCAATGAATCTAAAATTTTGTTATAATAATAAATATTATAATAAATATTAATGATAAAATTGCATTATTATCGATAATTAGAATAGCAAAATATGTCATAATTTTAATCAAAACAATGATTGCTGATTATACTTAATTAAAGTATCAATAATATAAGTATAATAATTAAAGTATCGTGGAAATTTATTGCCAAAATATCATAAGAATATAATAATAGTATATGAGATGATAAATCAAAATTTAAAAGCTATATCTACAATTATTTCAAGCATTAAGACATTTACATATTACAGTAATTACAATAAGAATATAGCACGCCGAGAAAGTGTTGCATAACATATAATGCAAAAGAGATAAGAAAATGAATCAATCAAGATCCTTTGTTTTCTTCCTTTTTATGAAATAAAAAAACTATAGTTGATTTTCTTATGCTTTATGCATTGTACATTATGCAAATTAGGATCTGTGCTTCAGCTTTAAGTTATATATTTATATTATTCGTAATTATACATTTATAGAATTTTAAATAAAGCTATTTTGTGAAAAAATATCAACCGTAAAATTCATTATTTTATAGAT